GCCGCACTTGCAAAGCGATGGGCAGAGCGTCGGTGGGGGAGGCGGGAATCAAAGTACGCAAACACCGAGTCTCACTTTTTTTATTCCGACAATATACCTCGACAATATACCTGTATACGAGGATCTGGGGATCCATGAAAAAAAGATTTTAGTATTGATAGCTAGGAAAATATAGTAATACTCAAGACTTGTCTATGGTGTGACCATTTTCAAATTTTACAGAGATGTTGAAAACTAAAAGACAATGCCTAAAACCACAATGTCACGTTTGATTTGGGAAGATTTATCTCAAAGTTTGAAAACGAAAACTTTGTGGGGGAAGATATTCGTCAAAGATTGAATTAAATAATATTCAGTCAATTTCAACACCTATTTCTTTGAGATCTATTTAGATAAGACGGTCTTTTACATTCTGGGGTTTGTTTTGAATTTTCAGACACAGTTTCACAAGAACGCTTGTTCTCAAATATTTTGGACGATTGGAAATGGGAATAATTGTGAAAAAACTTTCACTGTTTTTTTTTTCATTCTATATACTGTTTTTCTTTTCTATTCATTTTTAAATAAAATCTTTCTAATTTTCTCGCAATGATTTATTGCAATCTCTCATAAAAAAAATAAACATCGTGTTTCTCAACTCATTATCTTCTCTATATGTGATGTTGGAAACGTCTTGACTTCAATTTCCTCTTCTATCTGCCGAAAAACCCAATTTCCCATTGATTTCATTCGTTTCTCAATCCCAGTTTTTGCGAAATATCTTTTAGAAGAAGCAGACATAGAGAGTTTTTTTTTTCAATAACCATTTGAATTTGTTCACAACTTCCTTCAAGTTTTAGTATTCAATGTATCAGGTTGGCAACTAATTCCTTGTGCACTTTTGTTTTTCATATTTTCTCTTAACAAAGCTAGAACCATAACATGTGTGTAAGATAATGTGGTACATAAGATAATAAGGTTGTTCACAATAACCATCATTTGCCCTGCTCTCATTGCCCCTTTTCCTCACGATGCTTCTTTTCCTACCCAATGTTTTTGGGTAAGGTTCCTGTTTGACGACGTCTTCATCAAAGTCAATCCGATGAACTTTTCTTTGATGGTTAGTATCAGGCCTGTGCGGCAACAAATTTTTTTTGGCAATTTCGGCAACTTTTGGCAATTTTCGGCAACAAAAGTTTTGCGTCTTTTTTTAGTAAAATCGATACCTAACCTGAAAATGCTTCTATCAGGCTCAGAACTACAGAAAATGCGTTTCCTAAGTTCCTTAAAAAAGTAATTGCAAAAATTGGCAACTCAAGACCACATTTTTTATGCAAATTATTTCTTTTTAGCAATAGAGGGTATTCCAATCAGGCCTGTGCGGCAACAAATTGCCGATTGCTGAAATTGCCGAAATTGCCAATTTTTTGTTGCCGATTTTCCGTTGCCGAAATTGGCAACAAAGAAAAAGTTGCCGAATTGCCGTTGCCGATTTTGGCAAAAAAAATTCGGCAATTTCGGCAACTGAAATTTTTTCAAATTTAGAGATTTTCACAATTTTTTTAGTCAAAAAAATGATTTCGAAGTTCGAAAAATCAAATTTTGAACACCATCATCCCTCAGAGTGAATTTTAGAGGAAATGTGTCCCAATAATCATCAAAAATACTTGCATCGGATCTTAAAATGAGCTTCAAATTTGTGAGCATAGGAGAAAAATAGATATCATGAGTCACAACTCATCAAAAAAAAATTATCCAATCTGTCTCAAATCTCTACGGAACGTGTGTCGTGAGTTGCCTAACAAGTTGAGCACACTATTTTAAAACTCACAATCGGAACAAATATTTTCAACCATGGGAATACCCTCTACTGCTAAAAAGAAATAATTTGCATAAAAAATGTGGTCTTGAGTTGCCAATTTTTGTAATTACTTTTTTAAGGAACTTATGAAACGCATTTTCTGTAGTTCTGAGCCTGATAGAAGCATTTTCAGGCGAGTTACGTATCGATTTTACTAAAAAAGACGCAAAGCTTTTGTTGCCGAAATCGCCGAAATTTTTTTTCGGCAATTGTCGATTTGCCGAACGTTGCCGAAAAGTACTCGGCAAATTGCCGAGTTGCCGAATTGCCGAAAAAATTTTGTTGCCGCACAGGCCTGATTCCAATGGTTGAAAATATTTGTTCCGATTGTGAGTTTTGAAAATAGTGCGCTCAACTTGTTAGGCAACTCACGACACACGTACCCTAGAGATTTGAGACAGATTGGATAATTTTTTGATGAGTTGCGACTCATGATATCTATTTTTCTCCTATGCTCACAAATTTGAAGCTCATTATAAGATTCGATGCAAGTATTTTTGATGATTATTGGGACACATTTCCTCTAAAATTCACTCTGAGGGATGATGGTGTTCAAAATTTGATTTTTCGAACTTAAAAATCATTTTTTTGACTAAAAAATTTGTGAAAAATCTCTAAATTCAAAAAATTTTCAGTTGCCGAAATTGCCGATATTTTTTTGCCGAAATCGGCAACGGCAAATCGGCAACAAAAAATCGGCAATTTGTTGCCGCACAGGCCTGGTTAGTATACATGGTCTACTTCTTATTCGAAGTGATAATATAATTCAGCAGCTTGAACTTCCCGTGTAGAGTAAGAAGATGCATTCTCATGTCAACGTCCATAAAGTGATTGACATTTTACGAGATTGGTAAAGGTCACGTTTGACTAGATCTCTCCGTTTGCCTATATCCTGAAGAACTGGTCGCCCGGGACGAGTTTCATCTTTTATTGAGGTCCTGGTTCTTGAACTTGCCAACCCAATATGCAACGGTGTTTTCACAGGGGACATTGTCTTTGTAAACTTCCAACAGGCGGTGATGAATATCGAATACTTACAGGTTAGAAACAACTAAAAGCAATATAGCAATACAAATGAGGTGAGCATCGGGTATGGATCGGGGCATCGCGTCCGCAAGCGGAATGAAAGCAGGGGAAATGATGGTTATTGTGAACAACCTTATTATCTTATAAACCATATTATATTACACACGGGTTATTGTTCTAGCTCAGTTAAGAGAAACGATGAAAAACGAAAGTGCACAAGGAATTAGTTGCCAACTTAATAGAAGCAGCAGTTACATTGTTAAACACTGCTCTGATGTTACTGACAGGCACAGACACACCAAATCCCGAATAAATAAACTTGAAAGCTTGAACTGCAGTAGTTGGATTGCAACGACTGTTCTCGAATTTTATTCCTCAGAAGAGAACAACGGGCGGTCGTTTTCTTTGCATCAATTTTATGTGCATCGTTTGTCAACTCAACCTTTTTAGTTTTAGGTGTCAAATCTTGTCGCTGTGGTTTCCTATTTCGTTTTATTTAACTCCTTTCTTCCTATTGTCTCAATCATTTTGACACGAAATTGTCCATTTCGTCTTTCCTATTGAATCTGTTGGTTATATCGGGTCATTTTAAACGATTTCGATAAGATGGCAAGACTTGAGAGGATTTGGACGTACTTGAAGGTGAGTGGTGTTCAAAAATGGTTTCTTATTATCTTTTTTGGGTTTCAATGTAAAAATTCTAATAAAGACATTTCGTAAATTTAGCAAGCTAAATATACCACAAAAATACTTTTTGAACCGTCAGAGTTATCAATCTATATTTTTAAAAATCTGATTTTATATCACAAATTCCATCTTGAAAACAATTTCTGTGATGAAAGCTCGACAACTACCAGAGTTACCTCTAGAAGTCAATGCATTTTGCAACCCTTGTAAGTTAGTACAGCCGGTTCCAAGATCGGTGATCATGAAAGTGGTTGTATAAACCACGCTGGAAGGATCAAAAAAGCTAATTCAAATTATTCGAAATACACAGGTTTGTTTGGTACTTTTGTCTTATACTGGAGCCCAATGTCTACAAAACAGACTGAATGAGCTCAAAACCTGAACTCAAGAGAACTATCGATTTCCCGTCAAACTCTTTGAAGTCGTGTAATGATAAGGTAGTTGAATCTTGGTGATGGCAAATAGAAAGTTCGGACAGTTTGTGAAGATGATCCGAACATCAAAAGAACAGTCGTGCGCCCTGATTACAAAGCCCACCAAACCTGCAACGCACCAAAACTTGCAACGTACCGATTGTAATTCATTTTAATCGTAATGTTCTTGAAATATTTAAGATTTTTGACGCAATAACAAAAATCTAATTTTGCTCAATAAAATATTGTACAATACACGAAATAACTGTAAATTATATTCCAGTCCACAAGAATTGGCAAGGTGCTACTGAACGTTTTCCAATACTTCTACATTCGGTGGCGTGTTTTCCGAGCTATTTCAGTTGAGCCTGACGATGATTCTCTCGAATCATCCACCTACGATACAGGCAGACGTACGATACCAATGTAGTAACAATAAAAATGAGCCTGTTTAGCACGGATTGTCCGAACTACATCTATGTATCCGGAATCATGTCCCAGCTCTAAGAGAGATCAGGCCTATTGTCAGAAACCGGCATGCATTGACGTTTATAGACAGTTTATGAACTACGGCACAGTAGACAACACAATTCCTGGACATATTTTTCTATCCAACAGTGTTTCTTATGTACCGTAAAACCTGTATTAGAAGGGCCCCTTTAATAGAAGGGCCCCTCTAATAGAAGGGCCCTCCGAGAAGGGCTTGGAAAAATAGAAGGGCCCCCTGTAACAGAAGGGCCTCCGTAATAGAAAGGCCCTCCGTGAAAAACGACCTCCTTCAAAATCTGTTTCGAAATCAGAAAATTTCCGTACGTTTTCAGTGGAAAATTTTCCGGGAACTCCACAATTTATTAAAATTTTGTTGAAACACCATTCTCATTGAAAATTTTGCTGAATTTTGATGAAATTGACAAATTTTCATGAATTTTGAACAAAACTTCGTCGAATTTTTGATGCAAAATTTCGGAAAACTGGCCGGAAAAATAGAAGGGCCCCCTCTAATTGAAGGGCCCCTGTAATAGAAGGGCCCTCCTGAGGTACCTGGAACAATAGAAGGGCCGGCCCTTCTAATACAGGTTATACGGTATGTTTATTGAGTTTTACGTTTCTCAATTAATAATTGGTTTATAGTACGCCAATTCGCCTACCGAGCTTTGTCAATTGTCAAGATCAAATTCGTTTGATATCTCTAATGATGCTTTGAATTTCTCATGGAGCGCGGAAATTGTTCAAGATGTACGTTTAATTCACTTAAAAAACCATGAAATGGAAAACCTGCAGTCTGATTTATCTTCCGTACTTTCTGATGAAGTTTCCGACGATTCTAAACTCTCATTGTTCAAGGAAGGAGAACATGATGCATTCGAAAATTATTCCCGTTGGATGGAAGCCGGCAGTAACGTGAAAACACCAGAAGATAAGAGGCTTCGGCGACAATTACCTAAAACACCCGATGAAATTGTAAGTTAACACATCAGTTACGAACAAAACATTTCATTTGAAGAGCCAAAAATATTCATCTGCTGAAATTTGTAAGACGCCTCAAAACGATACATTTGCTCAGTTACATATGCAATCCATCAAAGGATCCGAAGTGATGACTTATTCAGAGGTAGAATAATAGTTCGTTCAAATAAGAATGTTGAATTGACAGGAGCAACGACAAATACGCAACTATTTTTTCACCAGACCATTGTATTTTGAAAGTGATGAAAACCGCAAAGCGGAAGAAAAGCGAATAGAGAATAAAAGGCTTCAGAGGTTAAGACAGAAAACTTTGGCACGCGGGATGGCAGTGGAAATAGTAAGAATTTCATTTTTCATTTGTAACTTGTTATCGGTGTTTAGCTCGATGAAACGGACTACACTAAATGTTCCTCACATCAAAACGTGGAGTCTCTGCAAACAAAGATAAGTTTTACAAACAATGAAGCATTCAGTATAGAGAATGAATGGAAGGAGCATGATTATATGATTCCTGAATTTCGTCTAACTAACAACCCGGAAGGATCATCACCATCTTCATCAGAATATCAAACTGCATCAATCAGCAGCCCCATTGCCAAAATGGTTGGTCATTTAGAATATTGTCAACTCAAAAAATCGCACGATTGAACATGCAAACAAATAAGAAAACAAGGATCGGAGACGCGCCGCCCCTTTTTGAAAAGGTGCCGCGCAGTTTTTCGATGGTATTTTACTATCGCTGTTTTTTTGGTAGTTTTTTACCAAATTTCTTCCGGATTTGAAGGGAATTTGTCTTTGCAAAAAGGGGCGGAGAGTCTCCGCCCCTTGTTCACTTGTTTGTTTGCGTGTTCACTCGTGCGATTTTTTTGAATTGACAATAATACATTGTTGAGCTAGAAATCTATTTTTACAGATCAGCGGAAGGTTCTCAGAAAAATACTGGAGAGTTAAAGATCACAATGAAAGTGGAGCTGTTGGTGCTATTGATAATTATCATAACCGGTATTTTGGAAAATCTGGGTATTATATAACAAGAAACGCAATCGAAAATTGTGCAAACGTGAGTTTTTGGTATATTTTACGTATCAATAAAGCAGACGTTTATATTACAGTTTTTAACTGTTTTGTCGCTCAGTTTAATGTTCAGACAAATTTTTGTTTACCAGTTTAATCGCTCGACGCAGTTTTATATTTGTCAGGCAGATAGTAGCGCCATGTAAATACATTCAAAAAATCAATTACATGTTCACGGAAGTAATTTACAGGAAAAAGATGCAATGCCGGTTGTTGAAAAGCGAGCATTGCAAGTAGAGAAAACACGTTGGACTTCCATTAATGAAAGAGGTGGAAACGTAAGCTATGAGAACAAAAAAGAAAGAGAGAAAATCAATAAATGTTGTTTTTCAGTACGATAACATAGATCTGGTGGTCCCAGATACCAATGGAAAGCACACAAATCATTGGAATGCGGTAACAAAAATCAAAGTATCTATCGAATGTTCTAGTATCTTTCAGGAGTACGAAGAGACATTGCCACTTCACACAAGTGTCGTTTGGAAAGCTTCTCGCGTAAGTTTGAATGATTGAGTTGGTTTTCTGCTCTAAAAATTAAATAATTGTTCTCTGACGTCTGAGACACCCTTTAAAATTTTTCTTCTTTACATCAACAAGATTTTTCGTTTTAGCGATACACTCCACGATACACCAGCTTGTTTTGAGCTTTTATGACGTTTGATCATAGTCGCATCACCCAAATAGTTAGTTCTTCAATTTTCACTGAATTCCATGCTTCCTTCTAAATCTTTTTGGACGTGTGTATATTTTTGATATGAATGTATTTTATTGTATAATGCCTGGATGAAAAATTTCGAAAATTAAATTATTTATTCAAACTTTTTTACCGGCATGATCGGCCCAACTAACGAAATGTTCGTCAATAAAATATAGTATGTGGATGAAGTGAGACAATTAATGAGGGAAATTTAACGGGGGAAAGCTCTTACGTCAATAATGACGTTACTCTGAAGAGAGTTGTAAAAAGTGTCAACTCAAATAAATGGTCAAAATAAATACAAAAAAGAATGTAGCGGAATATAAAGCATTTTGGTATAATGTGGAACTGTTTTAAATCATTCGAGAAGGATCGGAAACCAATACTTAGCACATGCCACATGAAGCCGGACAATTCTTTTTCATGTAGTTCATGAAGATGCCTTCACAAAATCCGGCGCTTTTCCAGTGTGAGCAAAAATGTTTGCGGTCGGCACATTCGCCAGTTGGTGGTGTTGCAGTGAAAGTAGTTGCGGTAGTAGTGCTGGTTGTTGGAGCATTCGTGGTCGAGCTGGTAGAAACGGTCGGAGCCGGAGAACGCGACCTGATGACCGCTCTGAAAGTCTGTGGTTGATCATAGAACGTGTAAATGAAACCAAGCCATTCCGGGAGAAAGTGCGTTTGTGCTGGGGATATGTTGGACTGGTGTTAATAAAATGAATGGGTGAATTGTCTAAAGCGTTTTTGACAAAGGGAAACCGGCAAAACTTATATAACTTACGGTGGCAAAGTTACAAGAGGTCTGGTTGTCACCACAGTTGGTAATGGTCCATTATCTGGAATTTCAGTTGGTGGAGGCTTGTAGCAGAATCCACAACTCTTTGCGCAATACGATTTCATGAAGTTTTGTGAGATTTTGCAATACCTGAAGCGTTTTTTTGTGAGTTGGTGAAAAAAAACAGTTGTTATACCTTTGTGAGACCAACACCAGACAATCCACACGAAGATCTTCGCAATCTTCTGGAGTAGTTGGTGGGAGCACTGGGACTGGTGGTAGGGGTTGAATGATTGGTTGGGTGATTGGTTTTTGTGCTGAAACTTAGGATGGTAACTTAAACTTCTAATTGTTCGGTTGTTGAAAATTACGTTTGGGGGTAGTTGTTGGTTGTACTGTTATTGGTTGCGGAGGAGTTGTCTTGATCGGGATGCACATTCCACATGGAATTGGGCAGTTAGCACGCATCCATCCAGGATTTCTGATGCACCATCCTAAAAAACTACACTTCGAAAGCATAGAACCAAAAGACATTAAAACCTTGTTTTGCCAAATGATCACAATCCCCTCTCAAATTCCTACACTCATTAGGTTTCAATGGAACTGCTGGAGAGATTGTTTGAACAATTGGTGGTTTAACTGAAGAGATAACAACTGGCTTCACGGTAACCACAATTGGAGCAGATGTTGGAGCAGCAGTAGTTGGCTTTTCTCCGTCTGCAAAGTATAAATCGTTGTTTTTATTTCTCTTTATTTTTTTTTCAAAGATGCTCACCTACTGGGCAACCGTACAAAGTGTTGATTTTGAATTTATCTACTTTTGAGAATCCATTTCTCTGTCCAATTTGGGCCCCATTCTTTTTTGGAATCATTGTGGGCTGTCCATTTCTAGAGAATGCCTTGGTACCGTAGTGCATGATACTTCCATAATCATACGAAGTTCCTAAAGACTGAATAGTTCCGTGACCATATTTCTCGAATTGTCCTTGCATTCCTGATTGAATATTGTTCCACATAATTGTGATATGATCGTCACGATCTGTTCTTGATTGTTCGTGGAAAAATCCAACTGCATGCATCAACTCGTGAAGGATAATTCCTTTCTGGATACAACCAGATCCAAGAGACAATGATTGTTTTCCGCCTGGAAATGGAAAGAGAATTCGAGATGTCAACCATAAGAATTGTATACCCATTTTTCCAACCATTGAATAACATCCTCTGTCTGGATAGATATGCACGTAGTTGACATCAACTGCTTCTTTGGGTACCCAGCGAATGCATGTATGGCTCGCATATTCCTGCATGGAAGCAGCGATCAAAGAACGACTGGAAAAATAACGTTGTCTTTTCCGTATTTCTGGTGGTCAGAAAAATCAAGACTGTCGATAAATTGGATATCGTATTTCATAGCTAGTCTTTGCTGTCTGATCTTTGTTTATTCAGGCAATATTGCGGACAAAAAGGTTACGGGATGCTGAACTAACAGGATTTTCAAAACATCCACATTTCAGATTTTTGGATTGTTGAACTCGAAAGTTTTTATAAGAGCACAATTGAATTTCACCTGTATGAACTGTATTGGGAAGAGATAGTATATGGGATCCTTCCTTCTGGCCATAATTGCAATCTATTCTTGATGGCATTGTACCATTTTCCGTCTTCTGTTTTTCCTGAACCACCGTTCACAAAAAGTTCAACAGTTGATGCATTGAGCTAAAATGAATTTTTCACAACACCAACTGAAAAGTATCAAAAACTCACATTGTCATTAGCAATATCTCCTTCGAATCTATCTTTGCTGTACATTGCGTCCGAGTCCCAAATATCGCCATTGTCGTGAGCCATTGCCGCCGTGATACGAACACCAAGCTCAAAGTCTTCTCGTGTGAGAACGGTTTCATACTCGGAATGCGATCGGTCAAACTAAAAGTAAATTTCAGATTTTTTTTTCTAAGAGAGAGCAAAAACTCACAAAATTTTCATCGTTGAGAGGTGGCAACTCTGGCGGAATATCATACGGACCTTTAATGACAGCAAAAGCAGGGACCAGAAAAAATACCAATGCATATTCTTTCATTTTTTCTGCAGCAGCAAGTGCCTGTAAAAAGTTTTCTAAAAATGAACAAATGAAGTGAGCTTAAGTCGAAGAAAAGAATAAAAATGATATGCTGAGTATGCAAGCAAGTCGCACCTACAGGAAAAGTTATAATGGCACTAAACAAACATATAAATGTAGGCAAACTTATGAATTCAAGATTGTAAATGGATGCGGACACATCTGACTTTCTGACCACATATGGTCACTTCCCATGTTCGCCTTCCGAAAAAGGACGCTTAATATAAGACTGAACAATGAATGAGGTTGAGGGGCCCCGCTTTGATTCTCCGGTTTTTTGCTCTTTTTTCTAGTTTTTCTGGTCTTTCGCCATTATCGCACCCCGTTGTCCTCTCACTTTGTGTTTGTTTTGAAATGAGCCAACAAAAAAGTGCGTTTCGCAGTGGTCACTACACTTGGACGAACAATTGTTGACGGATGACGACGATAAAACAGAGAAAAGAGAAGGGTAAAAGATAGCGGAAAACGCGAAACAAGCTAAAAAGTAGCAGAACCGAATATCCGTTATTTGAGAATACGAATGTTCGGATTTCAAACCATAACGAGAAAAAATCGTTTCTTTTTGCGAGCTTGAAAGGAAGACCAGTCCAAACACCCAACTGAGCGAAATAGTTATTATATCGTAAACTGATATTATTTTAAAATGAATTCATATAACACATTCGATTATTCTGTTTCTGAGAGACGAATCTCTGTGATAGTAAATAAGTTGAAAAAAACAGCTGATTTCTAGTGCTAAAGAATAACATTGGTCAATCAGCACTATCAATCGGAAATAAATAGAATTCAATACAGTTTGGCTTCAGTTTTCTTAAGATTCTTGAAGACTGAGCACAGACTGCCACTTTTTAGCCTTTTTCTTTCTCGAACCAGGGGAATAGGATCAGGGCGGGCACTACAGTCTCCACCCCATGTCTAAATTGGGATGCTTTTAGCTTTCACCTCGCAAAGAAAAGAGGTACATGATGACTCTCTCTCTTTCTCTCCTTCTATGCGCGCTCCGAGCCGTACGGATCAGCCCCTTCTTCGTTCCATTTATCAGTCTAATCACTTGAAATCACGATTCACTGACGATCTTAGGACTGACGACTAAAAAACACACACACACAGAGACACACATGTATGTCCACTCACTCGGTTCAGCCCGAATGATTAGAGTGACAGGAAGAAACTACAGATAACCGCAAGGAGCAGGATAAAAAATAACAAAGAGATGCCACTGTGGTGACATGAAAAAGGTGGAAATGCACTTTTAAAGATTTTAGAGAATTGATTTTGCGAACTTTGTATTCACAGTATTTTCTTTATTTTCATATATTTCCCGACGAATTAATAGAAAAATGTCTGGAATGACTTTCCATAAGGATGAGTTGAAAAAATAAAGAGGTTTCAAAAAGTCTTCCTTGGTTTCTTCATAAAATCCTCAAACACATCGATTGCGTTGTTTGGCATTGGATTGATGATTTCAGCGTTTTCAAGAAGAGCATCAAATGTGATCTGAAATATAATTGATTGATATTTTGCAATTTCCTGATTACACACCTTGCTGAAAAAAATTTTCGCTTCTGGATCTTGTCTGAACACACATTCGCGTGGGAGTTTTTTCTGAAACAAAACAAATTAATCACTCAAATATTAAATCTAATCCACTCAAAAATTAGTTGCCGCTTTGTTCACCACTGTTAATCTCATTTTCTTGTTATCCTCACAACAGAAATCGTTGTGCCTTGAAGTTTTTCCCCTCCAAGTCGAAAGTTCTAATTCGGGGCCTCTTTCAATTCCATTTCTCTGATGAGAAAAGCAAACAAATTGCTCATCCATATCCAGTACCCTGGGTGGCCTTGACCACTGCAAACTAACCCTGGCTCACGAAATGAACGTCTGCCCTCCCAGACAGCAGTTCTTTTTTCCTGCTGTCCGCTTTCTTCTTTGATGCTTGCGCGAAGGAAAAAGCATAAAAAATAGTGTTCAAACAAAGTGCGTTCAAAACTTTTCAATTGTATCTATAGATTTTCTTCCCGTTTGTTGAAAATAGTTTTTACTCACTTCCTTGCAAACAGCGGCTGAGTGTTTTCCATCCACGAACGTCTCCTCAAAAATCCATTGGTCTTGAAGTCGACCATCTTCAAGGACAGTTGTGGTAGTTACGAATGCCCCTTCAATGATTTTCAATGATTTGCAAAAACCTGTTTCCTTTGACGTTCTTACCTGGACGATAGCGATCTTGAAGATTCACACGGAAGTCCAAACTGTTGAGATCTTTCATGATACCGACTCCAGTTGCTTTCAGGATTGCTTCTTTGAGACACCAATAACGATAGAACATAGTCATTTTCATGGCTTCAGTTGGTTGAGAACGCATCATACGGAGCTCTTCAGGTGACGCGGATTTGGCCATAGAGTTGATATACTCGTCAGCAGTTTTGTTGTTTCCTGAATTGAAAAAATATTTTCTGAAAAATTTCCTGGTCTAAATTCTCACTCTCAGTATCCAATCTCATCACATCAACCCCAACTTTCGAACTGCAGCTACTTGCAAATGCCACATAATCGCCCTGGAATAGTATAATTTAACAATTTCAAAACTTTCGCCACCTCCCACCTGATGAGATACATTCAATCCGAACTTGGTGTCTGCCGGAACTGCTAAGAATGGCTTTCCACGTTCAGTTCTCTCAAATTTGATAGTTGGCCATGGTTCCCCACTGAACTTTTGAGCCGAGTGTCGGAGAAGAAGACGACCGAAAAGGCAGGCCAACGCGTCTTCACGATGACGAAATTCCGGGATTCTTTGAAATTCCTCTTCAGTGATACTTTGCACCGCTTTACGGAAGAGTTTCTCAAACTGTAAATGGGAAGTTTCGAAAAAAAAGTTTGATCTCAAAGATACTCACATCGTCTCTTTCAAATGCTGCTTGAAGACTAATAACCCATCGGTTGCATTTGCATTTCGGTCTATAACAAATGTATGTTTAATTATCCTTATTTCTCTGTGAAAACAAGAACATCACAGCCGCGTCGTAAATTAAATTGTCACTTACTGGTCCGCCATTTGTTTCTAGCTGCCAGTTGCTAGTTCGATGCAATAAGAACGAGACGAGGAGAGGTCTGGTGAGGACGGTAGCAAGTGCTAGCGGGTGGAAAACTGTGTGACCTTGTCTGTGTTGTGCGGATAGGCAAGACGATATGGACGGTTCTTATTTTTCTTTTAGGCGATGTCGTCAACAGGCAAATCGAAGAGGACACCAGCAAATGCGGGCCAATCTAGATAAGTGCCTTCATCTTATCGAGTCGTGGATCGAAGAATGTCTTCGATTGTTTTGAGGAGAAAAATGTGAAAAAAGAAAAATATTTCTCATCCTTTCCCAACTTTTTTCACAGCAAAATATATTTCTATCAAGTGAAGAAATTTGAAAAACAGGAAAACTTGCAAGGATATCAATCTTTATTACGAAATCTAGAAAAAAAAATGAAGGAAAAAGTTCAAAGTGCAGTTCGAAAACCAGAAGTTCATTCGTCAATATCCGTAGCGATCTTTCTGACGACTCTTTGCAGTGTTTTGATCTTTTTATCGTTCTTCTGCAAAACATTGCTCGTCTGCTCCATGAATGCCATAACGTCGGTTTTGAACACTTGGAATTGAGAAGCCCACAAACGGAAGGTTTCAGCTGTAAAAAATCATTGTTTGAAATGATTGGGACACGGGAGTCTTAGCTTTCAGTTTGGACATCAAATCTACTGAAATGCTGGAATGTAGTTTAATATTTTTGTTTAAGAAATTTTACCTTGATCCCGTTGAACCCTAGCGAGCGATTTCAATGTGTCCATGCTGCCAATCACTCCGCTATCCAATGTCTTCGGTGACTCAGTATGATCTGGTTTTTTGTTTTCTGGCTCATAATGACCTTCTTCAGGATGTTCCGGATGGTCTACGGTAGCTGGTGCTGCGGTGGTACGATCCTGCGTACGGATTCGCTCCTCGAACAATCGACTTTTCCGAGAAGAGTCCTAAAAAAACGTTTTTATGGCGAATTCGAAACTTAAAACAGCCTACCTGAGCCAGAGCAACAGCAACGATTACAAAACAGATCACAAGAAGAGACTTATTCATCTTGAAAAAAGATAAAGAATGTCTCTGTGGGAGATCTGTTTTTATACTTTTTCATATCAACACCACCACCCACACAACGCTTTTATTGAATTGAAAAATTTGATGAATCACAATGAGAAAAAATTAAGGCAAAAGAATTCCTTCATAAAAAAATCAAATAAAATACAATAAAACCCGATCAGTTTGCTTATCTATTGCAATGTATAGTCACAGTAATCCCCACACATAAAATTACTTTTTAGAAAGGCATAACAATAACACCTGCTGTATTTTAACTTGGGCAAGCAATAACGAAAAGTGATAAATTAAGATGAGCTAGTTTTAATAGAATCGCTTCCGCTGTCGCTCGTTTTTCTTTTGAAAATAGATTACTCCGAATCCAAGACCTCCAACGAGCACAATGATTCCAACAACTACTAATGCGATCGTTCCTCCCCATCCTAGTCTAGATGGTCTCGCATCGTCGGTGTGGTCCCTTGGAGAAGCGGTGAACTGTGCGTGCGGCACCACGTTTCGTCGATCAGCCTGTAAATTGTATTTTCATGTCTTTCTATTGGAGCTACGTCCTTTATCACAGTCTATCCACAAACAAGATATTCATCAAAAATTCTAAAATTTGGAGTCTCGCATTTTGAAATGTTCTGAAAAAATTCCCATACCTCTCCAACGCGTTCAACATGAGCAAACTCCTGCTCAAACATTTTAACCGACACCACATCATGAGCATCAGACAAGTCTCCAGTGGCAGCACTCATTCCGAAGTAGTATCCAGTTGGAAGCTGCACATTGTTCACGCTCATACACAGATTCCAGATACCCTTGTTCTCAATGTCGGTGAAAATCTGAAATAGACTTTTTGAAAATGCTTATTCGTCCTAGTTACGAACAGAAAGAGTGTCCCCGACGTATCGAATGAGAAGTTGAGTGTCGTGATCCTTGTTACGGAACTTGGCAGTACATCCAGTGTTCTCTCCACCGAGTTGAGTGTGAGTGCCATCTTTGTCGTGGTCGTAGTGTAGGCTCCCATCAGATACCATTGCCGAAATGAAGGGATGTCCATGCTAAAGTAATTACTCATTAGAAATCCGTGATTCTATAAAATTTTTGTGTTTGCTGGTGTGAAAAAGACCGCCAACCGCATTTCAGTTAATTTATTTATGATCCGTTCATTATTGAGACGTTTGAAAAATTATTTTTTTTCTCTGTGTCTTTCTCGCTGTTTAATACTGTTTTTATATTTGTTCTGAATCTATGTTCATCAACGTATTTTTATAAATCGTCTTTTGAAATATTTTTGTTTTGTCACTGAGATCAATTTCCTGCGCAAATCCAAAAATGCGTAGTATCACTTGAGCTCTGAATTCATCTGGAACAGTAGCACGTTTTCAAAAAAGCTCAAAAAGCTGTGTCACTGATCATAAAGCTCTTCGATAATAATAAAACAATTGAAAATTCTGTGAAACCGTTGTTCACGCCAATTCGCAGTTCAATAGGAGAAAATTACAGTTGTAGCGTGTGTCAAGTTGCGGCAAATGTTCTTAGACATTCTTTCCAACTTTTTTGTGTCCATACCTGATGTGGTCCATTGTGATTGCTGTACGTGTCCAGGAAAACCGCCAAACCACGGAAATAGTCTTTTCCACCAAAAACTGGCCCCAAGTGGTTTGGTTCGGAAGTGTACCAAATGGCCATTCCGTCTCCGAACAAATCTCCAGTACTTCCGGTTACTTTGAAAGAAACTTGAAGTTCCCAGTCGCGAGACCAGACAGGCTGAAAAAAATTGTTGATGATTTTGCATTTCTTGGGTGAAACACAGTTTCGAGACCAACCTGAGTGTTCCAAAGGCTTCCCTGCTTGCTCTGATCATCTGCGGTGAGACGAATTTGGTTTGTAGAAATGAAAGTGCTGCCTACGATGTTCCAGTTAGGGATATCGGCGCCAGATCCTGCAGAAAAACAAGATTATTATTTGAAACGTTTGAATAACTTACCCAGGTATGGCTTGATGAGTGAATGTTCTCGTTTGTAGTAGCCTCTGAACTCATGAACAGTTTGTCCATTGATGTTTTCAGCTAAAATTTCGGCTGCAGTCGGTGCTGTTCCCGGCGGATTTTGCGATGCAACAAATGGGAGAAGTCCAAGAATTAATAATAGTTTCATTTCCCTGAAAATGATATATAGTACATGACGAGAAGTTTATGGAATCTGTTAAAATATTAGTTAGCATTAACTGAATACGGTCCTGCAAATATTTATTGATTCCTAATACTGAACAAAAGATTTTCACATTGATATTTTTCCCATCTGTTTTTTTTTCGCTATGAAAAATTGTAAAATACGAATCAACGCGGTTATAAAAGAAATTTGTTTTGAAATTTCTATTGGTTTCCGACAGAACCCACCACAAGTATTGAAAACAACGTAAAACAATGCGTTTTTACAATACGTGGTGATTGCGGCGGGCGAGAAGTGAAGCAAGCGCGCCCCGTTGAACACACAGGAAACGAGTGACACCGTAGTCAAACTGCAAATGACCCATTGCTGCGCGTCTTATGCGTGTGTGCGTGCAGTGTTTTGCGTGCCCGAGGCCAACGTTAATGCGCACACCGCCTTCTATTGTGCGAGTATACACCATTTGTCGTTTTATTGGATTTCCTCGTTAAATGTTGCTTTTCAATGATGTGGTTTTTAATTAACTCTAGTTTTTTTGCAGATATGAAGTTCTTACTCTTTTCTCTGATGTTTGCGGCAGTTAACTGCGCTGAAGTTGGTACTCAAACAAAGGTACGTATTTCAAGAAGAATCTGTGAAAAATACATTGATACATTTTAGGAAGCTTTTATTCTTGCTCACAAGCAACCACTTTCCACTTATGCAGTTGAGAACATGGACTTTGTCTTGGAATATGGACTCTACAACGTCGGAGATAAGCCAGCCCAAAAAGTAACCCTTTGGAAAAAAGTAAAAACAACAAAAACATAATATTCAGGTCACTATCGACGATCGCCACTCTTTCCCAACCAACTCCTTTGAAATCGTCAAGGGACTTCTCCACGTTCACTATGAGAAAATCCCAGCAGGAAGCAACGTGACCCACTCGGTCGTCATCCGCCCAAGAGCCTTTGGATTCTTCAACTACACCGCTGCTCAGGTCACCTACTACACTGATAACGAGAACCTTCACGTAACCTTGACCAACACCCCAGGAGAAGGTACGAATAACTTTTTTTTGATAGGAGGTTTAGAATAGAAGCGAGTCGTATTTTTGTAGTTTTATGAGGAATATTTCCCATTGAATTTTCATCAACGAGGAATGTTTTACTTAATTAATCTTACAGGATACATTTACCGCCAACGCGAGTACGACAGAAGATTCGCTCCAAAATACACCTATTTCATTGTCTTCTTCCTCATCATTGCTCCAACCACTTTCGGATCCTTCTTGCTTTTCCAACAATCCAAATCCCGCTTTCCAGTCATCATCAAGAAGAAGACCACTTAAACTGAAACCTTCTTTTTTATTGTTATTTTTTTCATAAGTTATTGTAGTCCCTTCTATCTAAGTTCTGCATTGCCCATGCGGGTTTCAACCCTAATCCAATCGATTGCGTTTTGGTTTTTAATTGGGGTTGATTCAGCTATTTTGTTTTATGTGTTCCATTTTACGTTTGTCTCCTCTTCACATTTTGTGTTATTCCAACAAACTGGTCTGTGCTAACAAGAACCTTTTTTGATTCTTTTAAAGCCTTTTTTGTATATCAATAAATAATAGTATTTACAAGAAAACGCACAATCACCCGCACAAAACAATTTTAATGTAACTTGAATTTTTCAAAAAGTTTGGAACTTATCAGAATTTTCGTTTATATCTCAAACAATATGAATCGATTTTCTGTATCTGCTCAAGAAGACCGGGACAATGTTTGAATGATATCCAACTAATACATTCATCACTGTTTTTTCAACACTTGTTGATTTTCTTTTTCTGTCTTTTTGATTAGAAGAAGGTATTATCGTTATCTATTGTATATTCCGAATAACGACAAAAATAATTTCATGAGTTTAATCATTCGAGAAACTTAAAACCGTTTTGAAGTCGTCCCTTGTTCACCTCTGTGCGAGCATCTGCACGAGCATGATTTCTTCCACGTGCCTGACCTGTCCAACGGACATGACTTCCTAGAGGGGCTTGATTCACGGAACGTAAAACCACGACAGATGATCTCTCAGCGGCTGCTGAATATGCTGGAGAAGAGGACACCGCTGATGGACTATATCGGTACAGAGAAGAATGTTGTCGGTGGTAAAACAATAAGAAGATGATAACTAGCTCGGGCGTCGCCGGTAGCTTCTGGCCGAAGTTTGGTCTGCTTCTGGACGGTAGTTGACCAGATTCCGGCAAAGATATTATCGGAAGTCAACCAAACTCCAACAAACTACCGGCAAACTTCCGACCTCGTAACAGCAGCAGACATGAGCGGAATTCCTTAATCCTTATTCCTTATTCCTTATTCCGGGTGTTTTTTTCTGTTCCTTGTTTTTTAATTTTGTTCCTTATTTCTTCTTCCTTCTTCCTGATTTTTTTTGTTATTCCTCTTCAAAACTTTAAAATTTTTTCTATCAAAAATCAGAAAAAAATTCTCAAAACTGGGAAAAAATTTGAACGCTCTAAATTGCCGCGTAACATTTTGTTCAGCGGAGCATTTTTGCACCGTTTTTCGAAAATTTTTTTTTTGGAAATCTTGGAAAAGTTATGCGTTTATCTCAGTGTTTTTTTTTTGTAATAAATTTGGTTTTTACAATTACTAAATACTTCAGAAAAAATGTCTGAAAAACGGAGAAAGTTTGACGAATTCTTCGTCAGAACAGAAAACGAGTGTATCCTCTGGTAATCGGTTTCCAACCAGATTCGGGAAAATTCCGGAGCAGAAATGGCTAGATCTGGTTAGAAAATTGTCCGAATCAGGTTGGAAAATTAGCTTTCTCGATCGTATTTGGTCAGAAAATCACCGGATCTGGTCGGAAAATAAAAACTTTCCGAATCTGGTTGGAATTTTACTCGAATCTGGTTGGAAAATGCGCGTTCCCAAATCTGGTTGGAAAATTACCCGAAACTGGTTAGAAACCGATTACCAGAGTCGGGCCTCATCTGCACCCCGAAAAGAAGCCGATTGAATAACGTCACTGTTGACAAATTAACTTTTTGTTCACTCAAAAATTTAAGCATTAGTCATCAGGTTTAGATCTGGCTTAAAAAATGAAAATTCTGATGAGCTTTCTAAACGACATTTCCTTGTCAAGAACCTTGTATTTAAAAATCGCTTCATTGACGATTTGTTTCGGAGTTTGGGAATGTCTGGCAACCGTTGGGCGAAGTACTAGTTAAATATATATATATATATATATATATATATATATATATATATATATAAAGCAAAATCTCGAAAAAATAGGAATTATTCTGGTCATAATCTTTTTGTGCAATACTTCATTTCAATCATGCGTTTGAAACTTTTTACAGTCGTTGTGTTTCAGAGAATTAAAAAAATGTATTTATACGCCAATTTGTCAGTTGTAGTCAAATGTCAGTTCAAACTTGTGTTCACAAATTGCGTCTTGGAAAATATTTCAGCCTGATTAGTTTCATTACGCGCAACGTCACCCACCCACTCCGTTTCGCTGATGCTTTTCTTCTTTCACGTATTCTCGATTATTATGCTGAAGTGCTTTTCCCTGTGAATGGCCCTCCGACTCTCTTTCTCTCTCTCTCTCTCTCTCTCTCTCTCTCTCTCTCTATCTCTCTCTCTCTCTCTCTCTCTCTCTCTCTCTCTCTTTCTCATTCTCTCTCTTCACTATTATATTGATTCAAAATTCTTTCTTCGACTCCTTTTTCCGTTTCAAACCCTTTCTTCCACTCTCTCAAAATAGCGTCGATGGGGGGGGAAAACAGCGAGCAAAGGGAAAAAAGAATGAGAAGCGGAATACACATACACATACATACGCACATAGCATGCATACGACTGTTTTCTCTCTACTAGTTCTCTTGCATGCGCCCCTTTTTGGTCAAACGCTCTCTTTCCGTTATTCATGCGGGCTCTCTATCTCTAATACTGTGTGGCGTTGTTATTGCACCTCGTCTCTTCGTTTGCCTCAGTTTCGCTGTGTTTTTTTCTTTTTTTCCATAGCTATCCACTTGAATCTGACAGGGGAGAATTAATGAACATGTGCATATGTGATTGGTAATGACTTTTTGAGATTTATGGCTTTGATCTATTCTCCAGAGAGCGTCAAAATGAGTTATTGACATGCGGCGTCAACGAAAAATTTTTTTTAAAGTTTTGAGCCTTTTCCTTGTTTGTCAGGTGTGATGAAACTTATAACACGACTGAAAGAAAAAATATAACATTTTAAAATAATAGAGAAAGAAACAAGAATTGTACATAAAAATGCGTCCGACACGGATGTTCCTCTCATCAGTTATTCTCTCTAATCCAGTTTCTCACTCGACGTCATTTTTTTCTTCAATGTCTCTTTTCTTCTGCTTCACTAGTCCAATGGCATTCTTGCTATACATTTTTCGAAGCGAAACTTCATATGCTTAAAAGAATAATTAGATGCCTTCTTCTGATACATTATCGTGATATCTTACTACTTTTAATTTTAAATCTGTCACTTAGGGAGTGTATATTCTTTATTTATTTCCGCAGTTTCAGGAGTGATATTGATTTTTTCAGATATCACCCATGCTGTAACCAAACATGAATGATAAAGAGAAAGAGTTATGCCCTCGACTCATCGACTTTCTAGTTGTGGTAGGAAAGAGGAATCGCCCCAGAGGAACTCGACAGAGCAGTTCGGATACAGTTCCTGAAACGACAGTGACATACCCGGAAATTTTGAGAAGATACCCAACAGATGATCACAAAGATTTCATACTTCCCACAGACGTCACAGTCTTTTGCCAGCCGGAGGGATGTACAACCACCAGTAAGTTGATTATCTCGGATGGTTTCTTCATACTAGTTGTTTTCATGATTTCTTTTAAATGTAATATCCCTCAAAATCCCTGTTTTACTTTCAAATCCATTCTCGTTTATTTTCCATTTTCAGGTATCCGACTGCGAAAAAACAATCGGAATGATCCTCAATTTTTCGTGTTCATGCTAACTGAAAAAGATTCCGCCAAAATTCGTTATGGAATATGTCTCAACTTTTATCAATCGTTTGACAGACGATCCACACCACGTGATGAAGCCAGAAAACTTCCAGATGAAACTCATCACAAAAGGTTAGCTGGTTAAAATGAGAATGTTAAGCATGTCCCAAATTTCAGACGCGACACCCAGATCTCATTAACAAGTCTTTGTTTCATTTCTCACCATCCATTTGTTTCAATTTTCCATCAAGTGCTCCTTCTTCTGAAGCGCATCATTGACAGCAGCAACCACAGAGCAGCTCATAGAACAGGACTCAAGTAAGTAATTAAAAAACAAAAGAGGGCAAAAGAAGGAGAAAAATTTTAGAGATATTGTTTGGGCGATTTTGACGGGCCATTATAATGATCCAATAGTTCCTGAAGTGATGAAAGAAATAAAAGAAGTTGAAACGTGGATACTGATGCTTCTGAGTTCTCCCGTCCCTGTTCCAGGAAAAACAAAAGTTCAGATAGAAGTAAGGTTGACGTTTTAAACAGTTTTTCAAGTTTTGTTAAGGTCATGCCAATGGATCTGTCACAAATTTTCGAGTTCGCTCTACCCGATCACACTCGATTCACTTTAATAGACTTCCCATTACACATCCCGTTCGAAATTCTTGGAATTGATTTAGCTCTTCGTGTTCTTACAGCAGCAATGCTAGAATTCAAAGTGAGAAATTCCTCGAAGATTTTTTCAAACAAATTGTTTTCACTTTTTCCAGATTGTCATTCAATCCCGAAATTACAATGCGGTTAGCATGTGCATTCTTTCAATTGTGGCTCTGCTGTACCCATTAGAATATATGTTTCCTGTTATACCTCTTCTGCCAGCGTACATGCCGTCAGCTGAGCAGCTGCTTCTCGCGCCTACTCCTTTTTTGATTGGCGTACCCTCATCATTCTTCCATCATCGTAAAATCAAGGAACTGCCTTCTGACGTTATTCTTGTGGATCTGGACACGAACTGCTTACAAGTGCCAGATGATTTGTACATTCCGGACCTTCCGGAACCAGATGCCACACAGTTAAAGGTGTGAATAGTGTTTTTTGCTGGAAGATTTCATGGGTTTTCAGGATAAATTAAGAGACGCAATAAACAGAATGACCACAATGACTGTTGATAACGAAAACAGTGTGACAGATGCGGATTTCGGGATTGATATTGACAGCGTTGATGTGGCATGTAGAGTAGCAATGGTTCAGTTCTTCAATTCGCATAACGTCTTTGGCAACTTTAGTGAGCACACAAGAACTCTCCGTTTATATCCAAGGCCAGTTGTTTCCTTACAAACGGAGTCTTTTCTAAGAAGTCGTCCACAGTGCACACAATTCATCACAGATCTGTGTCGTACACAAGCGGTGGAATACTTTGCAGAATGTTGCCTTTGTCCCAAAAACGAGACATTTGTAAGAGTTCAAGCTGGTATAGAAAGTGCAGAACAAGTTGGCGATAAGCCGAAATGGTTTACCGAATCACTAATGCCAGTTCATTTTACGGTTTGTAAATTTATAATTTTTGTCTCAACCAACTCATTTTTTTTCAAGGTTTACCCCACTAACTCAACTTTGGACTCTGCTATTCGAATCTTCAATGCTGAAGTCGATGTAGATGATTATGAGAATGACAGTGCAACTTCGACAGAAAACTCCAACAGCATCGACGATTTAGTTTTCGACGAAAATCTGGCTTCAGGTACGTACGATACTTTATTTTTCAAAACATGCAATATAGTTTTCATTGTAGACGTTGGAGGAGAGGTCACCAAGCCACTCGCAGAAGTGAATTACATTTATAAAGAACCAATGACTCTAGAACTTCCTCCAAGCGAAAGTGCTGTTTCTATAGATAGCTCATTGAGCAGTGGACGCAGCAGCCCGGACTCGTCGCTTTCAACATCCGCCGTCGACAGTGAAGCTGACTTTGCCAGACTTGCAGATAACTTGGCGTTGAAATCAAACTCGCAAGGTGCCTTTTCCTTTGATCATGGTAGCGATTCGGAATATGAGTCAACACCAGTATCTCAGAGACGCAAAACAATTCATAATCCTGGAAGTGAAGCATCGGATACACCAACTAGTCGGGGGTCTATAAAGTCTGGATTAAGAATGAAGGTATGCCAAAAGGATTACATTACCATCCATTCTAAACTTTTAAGGGGCTCTCCTCGTTTACGGATTCAGGTGAAAAAGTTCTTGGACCTAGCTTCATGAATGCAATAAATGGATATGCTGAAAAAAGCCAAAGCGTTTTCAGTCAGGTGAGTCTTAAATTTTTATAATATATATAACAATTTATAATGTCAGGTAATCAATAAAACCGCTCCAAAAGCCCAAGCACTCAAAGAACGAACAATGAAGCCGTTGGCAACAAAAATTGAACAGAGCCAGCACATAGTAAGATCAAAAGCTCTCCCAAACCCTACAAGTCAACAGACTGCAAATCAGCAAAGGTAGAAAACCACTTCTAACATTTCTAAAAATTTCTCAATTTATTTATAGCAAAAACCAGCAAACTGTAAAAGAGTTTTGTGATCAAGCACTAGCTGGACAAAGCGTGGGCATGTTTTCTGCTCCAAAACTGCGTCGGTTGATGGAGGATGAGAGTCTACGAGAATTAGTGTGCTCAAAACTGAATCTTGGGTTGGAAGTAAAACTTTCGGAAGATGAGTTTGTTAAAGAAGTGGTATGCTAAAAATCAACAGCAGTACACAAAATTACTTTGCAGCAACTGACAAAGGGACAGTTCAAAGCATATGTCAAAATTTTGAAAGCCTGTTTGGAAGGAATCGAGGTCTCATTCAACACTCCAGGGTGTTGTGGTTTTGCCAGCGTGTTTCACGTATTGGAAATTGCGCACACTCATTATTGGGCTATGGGTGGTGGTGATGCGATAACTCCGAGTAGCTCTGCTCCGAGCACTGTAAGGTGATTACCGAACTATTTTCAATTTTTCTGTTTCTTCTAGATGACTACTCCATCAGAGAACTCGAATGACTTCATCAAAGAAACTGCTCCACGACCTAAGCTGCCAGCTTCCACCATTGATCTTCGCACTCCAACAAAACCTCTTGGGCAAAGTACGACCACACCTGCTTCTGAAACCCAAGACAAACTACAAGCATCTCGGCAGTCAGTTGTTCCACCACCTATTCCTCCTCGAGAAGCTCCACCTGTTCCCAAGCGGAATCCTCCACCTTCTGGCGCTCCACCAAAACTTCCTGAAGGAACTCGAGCCCCACCACCACTACCACCAAGACCGAAGGTGAAAACCACGGCTCCTCCACCAACAGAAATTTTTGAAGCTAACAGTCAACATGCTCAGCCAAGTTCTCCGGGTTTCCCGGCGGATGCTGACGAGCAGACAAAACCACTGCTGAAGCATGTGCCTCCGACATCCCTTCCAGTAGGCAAGCAAGAGCCTTGCAAGGTTCTTCCGACACCAAATGAGCCGGTCAGACACTACATCTATCAAGAATTGATTTGTAAGTCTATCAGCTATTTGCTAACCAAGTTCACAAATTGCAGTAGCGATTCAACATCAATTTTGGCAAAACCTCCAATTCTGGGAAAACGCATTTGTGGATCTAGTCGCACAGGAGAGAGAAATAGTTGGGATGGATCAAGAGCCATCAGAAATGATCGACAGATACTCAGCACTTAATGATTCTGAGAAAAAGCGTTTAGAGTTAGAAGAGGATCGCCTCCTCTCCACACTTCTGCATAACATGACAGCTTATATGATAATGTGCGGGACGGGACAAAGGGCACTTCAACAAAAAGTGCGGCGACTTCTCGGAAAAGCTCATATTGGTTTGGTGTGTTCCAAGGAAATCAATAAGCTGCTTGATGAGTTGCCATCTACACAAGGAAATTTCATCCCGTTGAAACCTCTCGGTAGTCGTTTAGTGCAAAAACAATCGTTCACTGTTTGTCCGGGTCCTAACGCGGATGGCCAAATGATGTTTATGGAGGTTGGTGAATGAACCAGTTTCTTTTTTATAGTAGCAGAAATTCCTTACAGGTGTGTGATGATGCAGTGGTTCTGAGGGCTATAACTGGAGCGGCCACCGAGCGATGGTGGTACGAACGTCTTGTGAATATCACATACTCTCCGAAAACAAAAATACTTTGCTTATGGCGGCGGCATGATGATAAAGTTCACATGCACAAATTTTACACAAAAAAAGTGGTTTAAGTTTTTGTTGGAATAAAAAAAATCAAGTTTTCAGTGTCGCGAGCTTTATCAATGCATGAAAGCAGCTATGGAAAGAGCAGCAGCCAGAGGGAAAGTTAATGTGGAAGGTCGGGCTCTGGGTGGAGAGTTTCCTGTTCATGATACAGAGAGCAATCTAGGAGGCTTGTTACAAGTAAGTTTTAACATGTTATTTCTTCTAGTTTATTTATGTTTCAGGTCCGTTGTGATGGTGTTGCGGTAATTTTCGCTGACAAACAGATATTTATTGGACTTTCCAATATCAAGAAATGCAACACGTTTGGTGGAAATGTTTTCTTATTAGAAGAATTTGGTGAGTGCATGAAACGGATTTCCATCTACTGGATAATTATTTCCAGACCGCAAAAAAGGCGAAATCATTCAAAGAAGATACTTTTCGCAAATGGTAAGTCAACACTAAACGCTTGGATTCTTTTTTCGATTTATTATTGTGTATTTATGTATTCTCCAACTTCTTTAGTTCAAAAACAGTTATTTCTTTTTATTGTGATGTTCTGGTTGAGTGTTTTCAGGCAGTCGAGATTGCATGGGCAATGCATCGTGTATTTAGTGTTCAATTCGCGCTTTCCTGTCAAAATGGGTCATGAGCATTCTACTAACACGTTATTTTGATTTTGTAAATATTTTCACATATACTCATTTGATTAGAAAACTCGTCATCATTCCACTTTTCTCCCTTTTCACTTCTGTAGCGTATGCAGTTAATAATTGGATTCAAGCTTCTTGGTAATCTCAAAACGGTACTGTGTTTTTGTTTTATGTGTCTCTCGCCTGTTATTACTGTTTTCAGGTTTCTTGTCACTGTTGTGAACATTCGAAGCGTCAGCTCTTCTTTTGTATGCTTAGTATTTGTTTTTCATTGTAGCATCTTACTTCTGTTTGTTGATGTCTTTTTTTGTGATGTCCGATACGGTTATATTTATATGTGTGTTTTATTACCTGAATATCCCAGTAATCAACACATTTTCAGGCTGATCAAATTTGCTATGCAGTTCTTTGTGTTTTTTCCTTTGCTGCTGCTGGACACAAAAAAGAAGAGCATAGTAAATAATTTTCGCATTACTCTCATGACATTCCATAATTACTGACGAACAGTGATAGTGTCTTTTTGCTTGTCTTGCTTTAAACTTTTCAATGCTTTCCAATGTAGTTTTATTAGTCCGACTCAGACTACTATCCCATTTTTTCAGTTTTTCCTAACTTTCGAAAAGATCCTAGGTCGTGTATTACTTAATTATTTGCAATAATAATGTTGTAAATTTTCTCCGCATTATTATTTATTAATCCTAAAATGGATATTGTTGGTCAATGAATTCGTTTAAAAATTTAAATAATTGCATAAACCATAAAACCTGCATTAGAACGGCCCTTTATTAATAGGGCCCCCTTTAATAGAAGGACTCCTTGAAGATGCTTTGAAACAATAGAGGAGCCGGCTTTCTTAATGCAGGAATTACGGCACATTATCAATGATAAAAACCAACGGAAATATACTAATTCCCAACAATTTCATTGCAAAGTATTCAAATAAAGCAGTTCCTTAACTTCTGGATCAGAAAAACGACAAAAACATGGCGCAAATCAGCACAACGCGTCTGATTGAAACGATTGATAAAAGAGCAAAGCAGATTTCTACAAACCACGTTTCGTTTTTGGTGCCCACCCGGCGAGTCTAACTCCCTGAACACATTTCAATCATTGTGACAAAGTCTGCGAATTAAACAAGCTGAAGAAAATCGACAATGATATGCAAAGCCTAGTGGGGTGCGTTGAAAAAACGGAATGAAAGGGGGATACAATTCCCCAGCTATTTCTTCTCAAACTCGCAAATTTTTGCATTTTCCCTTTCAAGTTTCCCGCCATCGAAATTGATTTCCAGTTGATTTTACTGACTTATTAGGTTGGCTAATAATTTCTTGTGCACTTTTTTTTGCATAGTTTCTTAACTGTAACAGGATATGGTATATAAGATGATAAGGTTGTTCACAATAACCATCATTTGCCCTGATCCCATTTCGTTTGCGAACGCGATGCCCCTGTTCACACCCATATTTTGCGGCTCTTCTGTGATGGTTAGTACATATGACCCACTTCTCATCCGAGATGAAAATATAATTCAGCCAATTGAAGTTACCGTGTAGAGTGAGAAGTTGCATGCTCATGTCCACTTGCCGCTAAATATTAAAATCAGTCAAAACGGTGAGGTATCCGTCCTCCAAGATTTTTTGTCTTTCCCAACTTTAAAAATCCATTTCAATAGTGGTATGAGTTGCCCATAAAGTGATTGACATTTCACGGGTAGATTGGAAAGGGTCCCATTTGACTAGATCTCTCAGCTTGCCTATATCTTGAAAAACAGATCGCCCGAGGCAAGTGACATCTTCGGTGGAAAAGTCTTGGTTCTTGACATTGTCAACCCAAGTTGCTACGGTTTTTCTATGGGGGTGTTGTCCTTGTAAACTTCCAATAAGCAGTGATGAATATCGGATACTTTCAGGTTAGAAATAAATATAATCAATATACAGGAAATTTACTCAAAAAAAGTGGGAATGAAAAGGGGCATCGCGTTTGCAAGCGGAATGAGATCAGGGCAAATGATGGTTATTGTTCTAGCTCAGTTAAGAGAAGACATGAAAAACAAAAATGCCCAAAGACTTATTAGCCAACCTAATAGTTTTCAAGTGATTTCGATGTCTTCCCTTTACTCAGATTGATTTTTAGAACCCCACATTTCACTCAGCGTCCTGCACAATTTGCTTGTCACCTCCTACGCTGTAATAGGCGGTTTTCATCTTGAAACCTGTAGTTACGCCCAAAATTCAAAAAAAAAGTGGTTCAATTGGAGATAGACATGAACACGCAATGCGGGGTTACACCTTTCTTTTGTTTCGTCATTCGCTTCGTTATTCGACGCCCATTACTTGTGTTCTGAACGTCTATACGCATATTTGCTCTGAAAATTGCCTGCATCAGTTGTATCAGTTTCCATACCTTCCATATTTGGATATAGTGCTCTCAGTTCTACATCTCGTAAAGTTGAGAGCCAGCCTCGTGACGTGGTGATTTCCCGCCCATTTCTTGCCCCATTTCCCATAAAGTTTTTTCCACTTCTCCGTTTTTTTTAAACATTACAGATATTAGAAGTGGAGTGGGTATGCCTTCTCTCCACAAGAAAGCTCATCAGTTAAATTCGAATCCCAGAGATTTCGAGAAGAAAAAAAAAAGAGTACAAATGCAATCTCCTTAGATGGGGTCTTATTTGGAAGCATCCTCGGGTTTTACGATCTACCCCATCTTTCTCCGCCCCTATCTTGTTTTATGATTATGGTGTGGTTGGTGGAGGATTTTTGTTTTCTTGAAGAGTCAAGTTCTCTTCATTCTGCATTCCTGCCAATCCGAATTTCCTTTCCCGAAACAAAAAAGAATGATTTCATCTGACACGTTTTTCTGCCCTTCTTTTCGCCTTTATTTTCTCATTGAGATAGGAAGACAATTATTTTTTCTCGCCCCATTTATTGTACGTTCGTGAGCCAAACCAATCTCATCCTCTTTGGAGAAAAAATTGAACTTTTCAGGCACTTCTTTTTTGTATACTAAAATGCCTTTGACGTTTTCCCGTGTTCCTTTCACATTTTCTCTTTTTTTGTCGAATTTTGAATGTCTATTTTCTTGCTCTCTTACAAATCTGAGAATAGCGTTATGTGTGGTTTTCGTTGAAAAGGAAGAGCAAGATGAACAAAAAATTGCATGTCATATCCATCTCCCCAATTTTCCGTCTCATAAAAACGTTCCAGCTGATTTGACCAAATCATGAGAACATTCAGAAGAACTTCATTTCATCTGGAGCGTTTATGAAAAAAAGGAGAAAAAACCGGGTCTACATTCTTTTTGAGAAGAAGTATGATTAGGCCATTCAAAAAAAGATTTATGTTCTTATGGAAATGGTCCATCAAGGAAATATTTAGAAAAAAAAGGAGAAAGAAAGGATAAAGTTGAGAAAGACAAAAGAAAAGTACTGATATATAATATTCGCTGGAGGTATTTTTAGATATGGTTATCTCGAGAACAAATTCAAGAATGTTTTGGGTAAATTAAACAACTTTCCCCTTGTGTTGTGCAGCGACTTATTTCATCTCTAAGCAACACACATTTATGTTGTTTCTCAGGATTTCTCTTTTCTTTTTTTCCGAATGTTCTAAGTTAAATATAAAATCATATTTCCAAACTTGACTTGAATAATGAACAAGATTTCCTAACTGACATTCCTATCTCGAAAAAAAATTGGCATTTGTCAACGTTTCATCCGTTTGTTGAACTTCGATTCTATGAAAGTGATGATGTAGACATGGGGACTTTTCCAATCTTAATGTTAGGTCTAGACAACTTTTTGTCAAAAACAAGTTAATGATGATTTATGTTACAATTAATCAGTTATACAGATTTTAATCGTAATCAATCATACCAAACAGTCTATACTTCTTACTGATATGCTATCAACTACGTTCTTATTTTAATGAAACAATTTTCCTTCTAATCTATTTGTGATGAGAAAAAGTGTAAAAGTGTTTACAAATCTGCAGATGCGTCTAAGTGTAGTGTGCACATGGAACCATCTTGAGAGTTTCTCGCCCCGTGTTTATAAAACAAAAACATGTAGATGAACTTCTTTGTCTGGTTTTCTCGTTGTTTTTTTTTCTGGCTGAGATACTCTGCACTTTTCTTTTCGTTTTAATTTAGAATAATACATGTTGTTGGCGCCAGAAAAAGTGTCTCCTAGATAATTATGGAACCAACCCCGAAGGAGGTGTGCAAATAGTATCAGATTTCGATTGTGCGCCCAGTTTTTCTCACTATTTTTATACCAATCGGAGGTGTCGAATACATCTCTGTGAGGACGTCAGGATTTTTTTTGTTTCTAAATGAATACATTATAACCTTTTCTGGAATTCTCTGTTCAACTTTTTCACTCGATATTCTTTTTTTTTCGTTCGGAATTTTGAAATTTTATTCAATCTTGCACGAAGTTCGTTCGTATTTTCCAATAATATTCCTCTATTCATTTCTTCATCGCCAGAAGCAAAAGAGAAACTTTAATATTTGCCCAAAACTTACCGTTGTTTAATGAAAATCTCTTTTTCTCTCTTTGGTCCTTCTGTGATTTGAATAGAAATTTCAATCAAAACGTCTTTTTCTGTGAAAAAAAGAAAACACATTCCTTGATATTTGCGAACTCTGGGAATCACCGTTTCAATCATTTTCCCATGGTTACATACCCCTGAGAACTCTTTTTTCCTAATTCTGGAAATTCTGAAAATCACGTTGTTTCTTCGAATGGAAACGAATGAAATCAATAGTCTATCTACTTCCCACCTTTAAATCCTCATTTTTTATGTTTTCGAAACTCGAAACTAAACTATCCAATTATATAGTATGATCGCTTTCATTCAATACGAAGCCAGGTTCACTTTCGTTCGGGTGTTTTTTGTTTCTATTTTCAGAAGTCTGGAAATAATATAAGTTAATTTTTTAAGAGGACAACAAACTTGGGAAGAGTCCGCCTAACATTGTTATCGTTTAAATTGGTATTTTTTTGGAAGAAGTGACCTTGGAGGAGTAAGCTTTGTTGCGTAATGAAGCATTTCACCACTGTTCCGGACCAGACAACGCCAACATTGCCGACAAGTTCTACAATTTCAGAAATCTTATCTAATATCAGCAGGTATTTTTTCTCAAATTTTCGAAATCACTTTTCATCAAAAATATGAAAGAAGATATTCTTATTACAGTCATAAAGTTTTAACTGGAATTGTTTTTTTTTAATCAGCAAGATATGTGAGAATTTGATCACTGTAGGTCAAATGACGTTTCAGGCATTTTACGTGGGGGTATTTTCTAGTACCTGGGATGTACTTTCAAATTTTCAGTATTCGGGAGATAATGATAGAAACAGAAAACTTATTAACAACAGTAATTTTTCATCTCTGTAATCAATCAAAAACACCGTTGTTGTGAAATTTTTGATATTAAATACTATAAAAACTATGAGACTTGCATGTTATACCACAGTTCATACCTGATTGACCATGCTTTTGCTTTTTGAGTCATTCAACAAATTTTGAAAACTGTTTTGGAATCAGGGAGCATCCTTTTTTTCAGTGAAGCTACTGGTTTTTTCTATTGAGGTAGATGAGATGACATTTAAGAAGTTTCAATTACTCAAAGAAAGAGAAACAAACAATTTTTCTCTCAAATCAGTTCGGACAGTTTTGATTGATTTTGGGTTTCATCTAAAAGTCCTCTGTTACTTCTCTAAATTTTTTGGGTTTTTCGCTTCTATGTGTCACATTTTCTCCAACTGCTATTAAATTAGCTTTTTGTGTTTCCTTCAATCAATCAGATCAAGCAAGTGATGCGCGTTTAGTGCAAACTATTTTGACTTTCAGCTAGTGTAGTACTTTGAGAAAGGCATTGAATCTAAGCTATCCTCTTGTTATAGTTTTGCGTAGTGGAAATGAACGAAAAACGCGCAGTACTTTTCACCCAACCTATTAATATGAGAGTATCTATAATTCAACAAAAAAAACAAAAATGGAATTGTTTATTGTTATTTGCCAACCGGAAATTAAAGTTTCGCTTATTGATATTCTATTGCTGGAAACCAAAACGCGCTTTTTTGCAATCACGTCACTTTGATTGAAAAAAAACGTGTTTTTTTTTCAAACTCAATTGCTATCAAAACGAAAGTTTATTCTAATTGTAGTGTCGTTGTCGTGTCACCATGTCACTTTTTTCTTTTCGTCGACTTCCTTCGTTCCAATTGGAAATGTAATCAATCAGAATACCCGTTGTCCATAAATTTGAACTATGTTTTCTTCATCTGCTTGCTCTTCTTTTTTTCTCATTCTTCTAGGCAAAATAAGGACGAGGAAGAAAAGTTTGCATAAATCTAGAGCGCCGTGTATGTGCATGCGCATGTTCCAAGGGCTACGCAGAAGAGTTATGATTCAATTTTAGAAGTCTATCGGGGCGGAAGACTTCTTCAAGTGATATTAGAAGAATCCGCCCTTCCTTTTTCCAACTTTTTCCCTTTATTTCCCTATATACCCTCTTTTTTGCTTTATAAAACGTTATTCCAGCTCACTTTCCTCCTTTCTCTTTTCTTTTTCTTGCTTCATGCTGATATCTTCTTCAGGTTGTGTGAGCAGGACTAAGTTATGAGCCTTTTGACTCGATGCATATTTTCTTTTTTTCCTTCAGAACATAGGCCATGCATAACCTTTCGTGGAATTTTTTTAGTTTAGAACTTGGTTTCGTTAAAAACACAAAAAAGATGTAACTACATATGCATTCCTTTTTTCGAGATATTCTAACAATGAAGAACAAAAAACTTCAAAAGATTGAGAGAGACCATACCCCAAATTTATGTCATTTTAGTAGACTAGAACATGCAATTTGAGCTGCACCTAATCAACAATTTCCCCATTCAACCCAATTGTCGTTTAAGACAAAAACCTTTCACTCAATCTGTATAGTAATCCAATAGAAGCCCTCCGTTTTCAATTTCACTTCACCTATTCTCATTCCTCTTTTTTTTCCTTTTTTGTTTTTCTCTTTCTTGCGCACTATCAAAACGCTTTAGTGTGCACTTAAGAGGAAATTAATGTTTGTACCTTGAGAATTGTGTCAAACTCACCTCGCTGACTAAACTACTAGACCCAAAAGCTGAATTACTGATGAACATACAGATATGCAAAACCTTGGACGAGATGAATATTCACGAAGTCATAGTTTTGCATTTTTCGATTCTTTCGATGAAATCCTTCTCTTGTCTTTTGTAAATTTTTCGAATTATTACAACACCCATTTGACCCGTATGATACCTTGCGACGTAATTTTGTAGCGAATCGAAATTGAAAAACTGCGAAATCACAATAAATTACACAAATTATTCTTAGTTTCCATGACACAAAGAAACCAACGATTCATTCATTCAGCAGTTGTGTTATTTGTGTTCATTCTCATTTTCCAGACAAGAAAAACCCTTCACTTTCCATGTCATCGACGTAGAAATTACTCCTCGAGTATGCTCTGATTCTTTTCTTTTTTGTTGTTTGGTTCCAAAACCACTCAAACGTATACAATTTTTCAACTTCCCTTTATACTTATTTTAAGGAAGATCTTTTCCATTTAAAACCTAGCTTCTCAGAACAAATTATTTTGTTATTAACTAAAATCAAAACTGTAGATGAAGTTTTGATTTTTATAGAAAATAAAATTCGAAAATGGAAAACTACGGACACCATTTTGTGTTTTTGGTATATGAATAAGTCATAAATTGGTTAGGGCCCCAAGACATGCTATGTTTTTCAGCCATTTCGGTTTTCTTGTATTCTTAATTTATATGGGCCAACACGTATATATTTTTTGGCTATCTCCTTCCACATGTCAAGATCGATTCTCGCGTCCCAAAAAGCTTTTCTCCTGCTTTTTTTCTCTGTTTTTTCTCATATTCATGTGTTCATATAATTATGTTTTTAATTTCACTCTGTCTAGAGCTTCGTTAACAAAGATAACCTTAAATATATCCTATTGCTCGTGCGAGCGTTGGTTTTTCGTTTTACCTCAATTTCCGGTTTCTCCAAATTACCAAATCATAATTTATTTTTTGATGTATCATTAGGTTCTTTCTTTTGTCTAAAATGTTGAAACTTATTTTTATATATTGTTCTCAGCAGTGATTTGTATATTATACCATTCCGTAATCACTGTAGCGACATTTTTCATCACTTAGTTTTTGATTGGAATATAGCATATTTTTATTGAATTTGACGTGAGAATTAAAGTTTTAGCGAATGTCTTTCAGAAGAAATGTTTGAAAACTATTGCAGAAAAACCACTCTGATCACCTGCACTATTCCTTTATGTTAGTATGAATGCTCCCTAAAAGAACTTTTCTTCTTGTTTACTGCGTTCAATGAATAGAAACCGAAACAAACGTGGACAAAATTAGTGACATTGGCCTGACTCATCTATTATTTAATAACGGTGAGAAAAAAAGGGTTGTGTGTTTCTTCGGTTCGGCACCTCCAAAAAAGAGAGGACGAAAGTTGCATTATTCATTCTCACTAACGCCTAAGAAATATATTCAGCTACAAAGGAGAAAGTAAAGAGCAAGAGAAGAGAAACTTAAAAGCGTTGAGTTTTGACTTTTTTTATATATTCCGCGCGTTTCGATTCTTAAGAATTCATAAAGGTTCATGAGACATCACTGGATCGTGAAACTTAGAAAATATAAAAACTTTACAATCTTTACAAAATTGTGTTCAATTATTAAAGGTGGGGGGACAGGAGATTTTTCGTAGTTTTTTTGTAGCTAGAGTATGCATTCTACCGTCACGGTGTACAACGCTTAATGTCACTCTGCGTACAGCTGTCGTCCTCGCCTTTATGTGTGCAATCGGGCGTGTGCTTTCTCTTTGCCCGCGTGGCTCAGTCGGTAGCGGCACCGCACCCTCAATCATCGCCCTCACAAGTTCAACTCCTCGAGGGGCATCTTTGAACGGAATTTCGAGAACATTATTTTTTTCATGTCCCCCCACCTTTAATCTTACTTCCTGTTTTTCAAATAACGAATTGAATTATGGATTCCCATAATTGTCTCAGTTTAAAAAATTTCAAACCTTAAAAGCATGACATGAAATGTAGAAGAGAAACAAAATTGAAAACTCACAGCCATTTTGCATTTTTCAGGTATAATGTACTTGAAAAATGTTCAAGAAGTTTAGACTTCCTCTTTTCTTCACAATTTTTCGTCACCTACCCTACTAGTTCTCACTAATTCAAGCACGCAATCTCGCAAGCCTTCAAGTTCTTTTTTCTTAAAAAAATTTGCGAACCCGCCCTTGCAGAGAAATCGAAAATCTTTTTCCCACTCCCTCTCATTTTCCGGAAACGATTTCCTTACTTCATTTTTTTGTGCTGGACGTTACTTTCTATCCATGCATCGTTTAATTTCTGTGATTTCAAAAAATTATCTTTAATAAAATTAAGGTTTCACTTGAAGCTGACCGTTGTCATGCAAGCAGACGATTCGTGGAAGTACAATGTTTCGTTTTTCACATTGCAAGCCTTATTGTACGAGTTTCAGAAAATTTGTTGGTTCGCTCTGGGGAACAACAAAACAAAACAGAATACATGAATAAAATATCGATTTTTCTTCGTATTTTCTTTTTTCCAGCACATCCGCCAATCGCAGAGATGACTTGATAGCCGTTTCAATTTGGACTATTATGCTATTGTACGCTCTCATCGCCAACATGCTCATTCTTGCCGGGATCGCTCGTAGTGCAACCATGAGATCAGCAACCAGGTTTGATTTTGGAGCTGGAAAAACTCAAATACCAAAATGAAAATGTTTATATTTCTGGTTTGAGAGTCATGAGTCTTGAAATGATGTTTTGAAAAATGAGAATCGATATATTTCATGAAATGAGTGCTTTGGCATTCCCAGATTTGCTGAAAATTTGCTGATTCTTTAGGGTATCGTAAACTCACATTGCAGCTATTGGTTTATCATATCTATCGCAATATGTGACATTCTTATGACAATCATCTCACTGGTGCATTTGGTTCCTGCCACCGCATTTCACGAAGAGTACGTGCAATTTAAGTCCGTGCGCAATATCATCATGATTTTTTTCTACGACTTGTTTTGGTACACCGGTGTTGTACAGCTGGGCCTGATGGCAGGAAATAGGTAATGCATGTGTACTCTGAGAATCGTCAAAGTAAGTGTTTTTTTTCAGATTCGTCTCAATTGTTTACCCAATGGAATACAAGCACATTTTCTCTCGAACTAGGTCGTTGTACCTAATTCTTTTCGGTTATTTTCTCGGATTCCTGGTATCGTTGCCAACCCTTTTTGATTGCTGTCATACTTTGTGGGACTCGAACTACTACATCACCGTTTATGAGAAACCGGGGACATTGTAAGTTGCTATTTTTTTATCTAAACGTTATGTTATCTGACATTGATTGAATAAGTTTGTTCAGGTACAAGTATGTTGATATGGCGGTCAACAGTATCTCGCTGTGTATGATGATCATATTTTACGCGGTTATCATTTACAAAGTTCGTGAGAGTGGACGAGCAATGGCCAAGTATCAATTAACGATTCGAACCAGAGTAAATCTTCGTTTCAATGCAGAAAAAAGGAAAAATGAATTTACAGCAGCAAAATGCGTTGGAAAATGGTGTTTCATTGACATCTCAAATGAACGATTGTGGTAGGACATCTTCTGTCCGGCCACCTCGCAGTCAAGTTAGCAAGAAGGAAATGAGACTTTTCATTCAGGTCGGAAACTTTTCCTATATATCATTCATAAAACCAAATTTTAGTTCTTCGTTGTCTCACTGGTTTTCCTCCTCACGTGGACCACATGGCAATGGCTTCCCTACATGTCTGAATCGAAATGGGCATATTTTGTGATGACGTCTCTTTTCTTTATCAACAATTCAGTCAATCCGACAGTTTATATTATTTTCAACACACAACTTAGACGAGAATTACACTATTTGATATGCCGACACCACGTAATTTCGACGGCACAAAACAAACGGAAGCAAACACTGTTCGGACGAGGGATCGCAGCTGAAACTAAAAATGAAACTGTAATAATTTAAACATTTTCCTTTTGAATGTAGAATTTATTACAGGATTTTCAAAACAACACAAGGGATGATGCTACTAAGTCTTTGGTGGATCAAGCTGGTTCAGTCTCATCCCAATCTCACGACGAACATGTAAGACACCAGCTTCTTATCAAGGTTAGCTTTTCGTTAAATATGTTTCAAATATTCCAGGAAATTCTATACGTCTGATCTTGATCTCAGAATTGTCAAGTAAGTTTACGCAAACATCGATTTATATATTAATTTGAGCATATGCCTGCTTCTCTCATTGCGTTTTCCTTTTTTGCGCGGGAAAAAGTATCTCCAAAAGTAGTATTTCGAAATAAAAGTGTGCAAAGCAACTGTCGTGTAATCTTTTTTGCAAGAGTGGTTTGAGTTTGCTGTTGGGAGTTTCAAATTGCAGTTTTATTTATTACAAATCAGATTTTACCGCCATAATGATCATCTAAGTTCTCGCTTTCAGAATATGGACTACACCGACAAGGACACCAAAATCAGTGCAGTTTGATAAAAAAGCAAAATAATTTATTGGAAAAATCCGCTCACCGGTTCCTCATTTTTCTCGACCAGTAAAACATGTTCATTAGATTTTATCGTTAAACTTTCAATATGCATTTGTATCTCATAAAAATTATGTAGTATGTGTAATTCAATTTTTGTTATTTCTTAATTTGTGTGGTCCGCTGATAATAAATTGGAGTAGACGAAAATATGCATTTTTGTAGTATTGGCGAAATTGGTGATGTGGTATAAAAGCCAATAATTACGGAGTCTCGTGTTCCAGTCCTGGGAAGTTGACTCTATATTTCAAAACCACTCTGAGCAATGAAGATCCCAATTTTGATCAGATAACTATTTCGCAGTACTAAAACTTGAGACGCGTCATTATCCTTTTTTGCAATAATTTGGTTCATTGTCGAATTAAAAAAAAACTGGCATCTGAGAATTTGAAAACCGTCGCTTTTTTTGATTTACGAAAAAGCGCTGTAGTGATTTTGGGGCGAGGCCCAGTAAATCGACACGGAAACCGCCCGCAAAGTTTTCAGGTGCCAGTTTTTCAATTCGAAAATAAATACATAAGTGTTTTTCAGACTTTTAGGTTTTCTCCTAAACATTTGCAGAAATAACCTTTCTATTAAAATAATGATTGATTTTTGAATATTATTTTTATTTTTCAAAATTCGCACAAACATATCTTGAATAATTTGAACGTATTCTAATTTCATAGTTATTAATAAAAATTAAATTTTCGAAACTACATGCACTAACACAAAACATGTGATATTTTCTTTGTTTTTCTTATGCAGTCAAAAATCGCCTTCTCCATTTTTAATCCTTGACGTAATTATCATAAGGAAGTTTTTAATGAGCGATGTAAAACTGAACACAATTGTCTTTGCGACATCGCGGTGTGAGTCATACACACAACCTACTGCGTTTCGTATTATCTACCCCTTGTCGTTCTCCAGCCCCCTCTCTGTCCCATTCTCTTTCCATTCCTCGTGCCCTCGGGCCGAATCCCCTCTCCCTCCCCCCC